TTTGGTGTGTTTTTCAAGTGTATGTTTACATGAAATGCATGTTGAAACTTTGTCCATACCACGAGCTCTTGCTCAACCATTTTTGGCTTAACATGAGATATTCTTTCCATATTTACATGACCATAATGTACATGTTCGCCTTTGTATTGATTTCACCATGTTTATGTGTTCTTAAACACTTGAATTTTTTCTTGAATGTGCCATTGAATACATGTTTGTATACCTAAAATTTTGAGATGTTCTTACTTGTTTATAACCATGTTTGAACCCTAATATTCATGTTTGGTTGTTACCTACTTGTCTTAACATGTTTAGCTTGTATCCATGCCTAAATCTTCAAGTAATATCTTAACTTGTTCACATGATGTTTGAATTTTAACTTGTCATGTTTAAGTTTGCTCACATGTCATCCATTGTATGTTTGCATCTTCATCCTCGTGTTATTGCTATGAATATGTATCCTTGTTCAAGTATGCTTGGTTGTTACATTTACTTGTTTAAATTGTATTCATGATTAAGTGATGTTTTAACTTATACATGTTTACTTTGAACTTTGAATGATATCATGTTAAGTAATGCTTTGACTTATACCTCCCTTATTTCATCTTTGAACTTTATCCTCATCCATGTTTAAGTGTTGTCTTAACTTTCACATGTTATCTTTGAACTTTGTTTTCATCCACGTTAAGTATTGTTATAACTTATACATGTTATACTTGAACCTTGGATCTTATCATGCTTAAGTATTATAATGACTTACCCATGTTGATATGCTTAAATTGTATTCATGATTAAGTGTTGTTACAACTTATCTTTACTTGTCTTGTATTCATGATTAAGTGGTATTAGTAAACCCTAATGCATGCTTGCTTTGTTTATGAACTTAACTTGTTATCTATGATGCCTTAGTCTTGTTAGAACTATTCCTCATGTATGTTTAGATGTTGTAACATCTTTGTTTATCTTGGTTGTCACCATAACTTGTAACTCATTTGAAACTTGTGCTTGGTTGTTACCTTATCCTTTATGAGTTTATCAAGTCTTTGCTCTAAATGTTGTCACATTTATCCTTATTCCTTGATTGTAACCATGTGTTATATGCTTTATCTTTAACATCATATTTGAATGTTACCTTGAATACTTTCAATTGATATCATGCTTGAATGTCATACTTATTCATATCATCCTTTCATCTCATACTTCTTTTAACTTTGTCAAGTTATTCCCCCAAGTGATGTTAGCTTGTTAGCTTCCATTCCTTAAGTTGCCTTTTGCTCCTTAATCAAAGGGAAAGTCTCTCTATTGACTCAATATCATAGGTAGCTTAGCCATACCCATTCTATTTGACATTGTTAGAGTCATTGAGCTTTCAACTTAAACTTAGGTTAGAATTTACAACTCTTTTGACTTTGTTAGCTAAGTAAGTGTTAAGACTTTAACACTTACCTCCCTCTTTGAACCTTGATCATAATCAAGTGTTCATTCATCCCTAGTTAGGTGAACTACAAATGCTATGATTCCATCGTTGTAAGAATATGTAGACATAAGGCTGCAAAGTTTTGGAAAGCATACTTAGTGACTAAACCCTTAGGTTTTTATCCTCACCCATAACACCCAAACACAAAACAATAGCAATTAATAACACAAATACTAGCAAGAGGTTCCTATAGAGTATTATAGATACTTAGGATGCTAACACCTTTCTAAGGTATAACCAACCCCCGAACCCCACAATCTCTTAACATTGTTGTTACATTGCAAATTTAGGGCTTTATACGATATTTACCCTTTTTCTTGGATAAATCAAAGCTCGGTGGTGAATCTTTAAAGATTTGTGATTCAAGTTTGATCAATAATTTGATATCCAATTCTCACCACAACAAACTATAAATTCAATCCGCTAGCTTTTTTTTCCACCTAACCATCATCAAACTTAAAAACTATGATCTATAAGTTCACTGGCTAAAAATTAACTTATCGACTCTATTTAATAAAAAATAGCGAATAACAAATAAATTATGAGTGTGTTTGTATGAGGTAATTGAGAATTTTTAAGAAATTTAAAATTCTAAGCAATTCATTGTAAGAATTTTGGGGTCATTTTTCATAATTTTTAAAACTTTTGAGTCAAATTTAAAATATGAAAAATAGAGACTAATTTGTAATTTTTGAAAATTTAAAAGGACCGATTTGTCAAATTTAAAAACTATTAGAGATTTATTTGTAATTTTTTGAAAACTGTATGGACAAATTTCAAATTTTTATAAAATTCGAGGACCATCTTACAAATTTTAAAATATAATAATAAATAATTTAACATTTGCATTGCATAGAGTGAAAAAGTAATTTCAAATGGAAATTTTACCTCATACCCCTACAATTATACCCATACCCCAACACTAAAATTTTTTAGACCAAAATACCCTCGTATAAAAAGTTATAATTTTTTGGTTTGTTTACCGGAAGACTTTTTGGAAGTCTTCCGGTTCACGTTTTTTTTGTTTGTTTACCGGAATACTTCTTGGAAGTCTTCCGGTTTACATTTTTTTTGGTTTGTTTACCGGAAGACTTTTTGGAAGTCTTCCGGTTCACATTTTTTTGGTTTGTTTATTGGAAGACTTAAGTCTTCCTGTTCATGTTTTTTTTTTAATTTTTAATTTTTTTTAATATTCAAATTACAAATATATTTATTCTATTTACTCTATTTTAGTTAATTAATATATTTATTCTATTTACTCTATTTATTCTATTTATTTATTTAATAATAATTATTCCACTAATTTGATTTTTTATTAATTTACTATATTTATTTACTTAATAATAATTACTCCACTAATTTGATATTTTTTTAATCAATAAAAATAAAAATTGTTAACTAATTTATATATTGATTGTGTTCTTTAAAGAAGAAAATTAACAATTTAATAATATGTTTATATGAAAAATAAAAATAAATATCATATTTAAATTATAATCCTATCATTTCTTCTATCAAAAAATTTCACCAAAAAATTATAATATATAACATTTATAATTATTTAAACAATATTTTATGGGGTAAAATATTAACTTTTAAAAATATATTTTATGGGGTAAAATATACTTTTAAAAATTTTCACCATAAAATATTAACTTTTAAAATTTGTAGGGGTAAAATATTTTATGGGGTAAAATATTTTATGGGGTAAAATATTAACATTTAAAATATTAAAAACTAATTAAATAATAAATATTTAGCAGAAGAGTGATAAAAACATGCTTTAGCAGAAGAGTGTAGTGAAATCATCCAAAAGAAGCTTCCACCCAATATCATTAAGCAGGTAGATTCACTATTCCTTATGTTATTGGTTCGCTAAATATTAGCATTTCTCTGTGTGATTTAGGAGCTAACATCAATCTGATGTCATTGTCCATGATAAGGAAGTTAAAATATGGTGAATAGAAACCTACTCAAATGATTATAATACTGGCGGATAGATCAATCACATGCCCATATGAAATTCTTGAAGATGTCTCGGTAAGAGTAGATGTTCTATCATTTTCAGTCGACTTTGTGATTCTAGATATGCCTGAGAATTTTGAGACACCACAATTACTCGGAAGGAAATGTTTATAATTTAATTAGTTTTTAATATTTTAAAAGTTAATATTTTATCCCATAAAATATTTTACCCCTACAAAATTTAAAAGTTAATATTTTATGGTGAACATTTTTAAAAGTATATTTTACCCCATAAAATATATTTTTAAAAGTTAATATTTTATCCCATAAAATATTGTTTAAATAATTATAAATGTTATATATTATAATTTTTTGGTGAAAATTTTTGATAGAAGAAATGATAGGATTATAATTTAAATATAATTTTTATTTTTATTTTTCATATAAATATATTATTAAATTATTAATTTTCTTCTTTAAAGAACACAATCAATATATAAATTAGTTAACAAATTAGTGGAGTAATTATTATTAAGTAAATAAATAAGAATAAATTAATAAAAAATTAAATTAGTAGAATAATTATTATTAAATAAATAAATAGAATAAATAGAGTAAATAGAATAAATATATTAGTTAACTAAAATAGAGTAAATAGAATAAATATATTTGTAATTTGAATATTAAAAAAAATTAAAAATTAAAAAAAAATAAATAAACATGAACCGGAAGACTTCCAAAAAGTCTTCCGGTAAACAAACCAAAAAAATGTGAACCGGAAGACAAGTCTTCCGGTAAACAAACCAAAAAATTATAACTTACCAAAATTTTAGTGTAGGGGTATGAGTATAATTGTAGGGGTATGGGGTAAAATTTCCATTTCAAATTTGTTATTTTTTTGTGTCATTTGAAATTTCTTACATTTAACTTGAATAAAATACTTCATAAATTTGTATCATTTAACAATTCTCCATATTTTTTTATTCAAATAATAAATTTTAGAAAAATCATTTCAAATTTTTTCAAAAAATTATTATTTTTATTAAAATATTCTATTTAAACTATAGACTTGTGAGAAATCAATCAATTTTAAATTATGTGTGAAAAAATGATGTTACTAAAGTTACCTTTCAAAGAATATATGAACTTATAAATTATAACCTCAACATTGTCAAATTGACTATCCTTTTTTTCACTAAACAAAACCATAAAAAGTTTATTTAGTATTTACAATAATATAAATGTTCATGAAGGTTCATAAATCTTAATTCAACAAACAAAAATTAATATTATTAAATAAAAAACTATCACAGGTATAAATATAGAACTTTACTTTTATTATGTGTGTGAATTATTATTAACTTATTCTCACTTAGTTTATGTAAATAGAGAACAAAATTGTCAAGAATTATTGCTTTTTATAAGATAAAAAATAAAAAATATGCAATACGACTTCGTTTAGTAAATACTGTTGCCCTAAGATAACGGTTCGATAGAAAACGAGAGGAAAGGAGCGTAAAATTGAATCGAAAGCAGAAAAAAGAAAACTAGCGCGGGAATGGAAACAGGAAGCAGTAGCAGGAAGAACCAGAACCAGAAGCAGCAAGATCACGATTTAGGGTTAGAGAAAGTTCGCTTAATCAGTTTAGCTCTCGAATTCGGTTTCGATGAACAATCCGCTAACCAATGTTTCGACCGTCTCGTCTCTCTCTACGGTACGCTACTACTAACCATTTCACTTTCATTTCCGCTTAATTAATCGATTAATCGGTTACTATTTAGGTGATGATGGTCGTGATTTCATCACCGTTGAGCACTGCGGCGATGATTTTCTCACTGCTTTGGCGGAATCGGTGCAAGACACGGAGGAATGGGATGATTTACGCGAAATGGAATCACAGGCTGTCGGAACTTTGAATCACGTGCTTGAAGAACGTTTTTCCAAGTGCGGTGATGGTTCTGAATCTTTCATTGATGTTATTGACGATTCGCCTCAGAAACGCCGGACTAAATTTGTTGAATTGGGTTCAAGTGATGATGAGGATGCAAGGGGTAATTCTGTATTTTCGGGTCAACAACATCCTTTAAACTCAATGGTAGTTGTTCAATTTCATTTTGTTATCATTGTCAGATTTATTTGCAATTTCAATTTCAAATATTTGTGAACAAGAATAAAGCTGTAGTTGTGCTTCCTTAAGTAAGGAAACATATCCGAGTTTCTTTGAATAGACTTATTTGAATTTATATACTAACGTAAACACTTATGAGTTTTCTAAGTATAGCTTAGGGAAACCGTTTATAGCTTATATAAAAATAATTTGACTTTATTTTTTACCTTTTGTTATAGAAATAGAATATATATACATAAACACCTATATGATCAATGGTTGTGCTTATAAGCACTTAATTAGGGTGTTTATCCAAATAGAACTGCGGATGAAAAATTATTATGGATCTGCACTGTGTTATAATGCTTATATATCAGGCTTATTCAAAGCCATGCACAAAGATTAAACAAGCTGGGATATATGATGTTTAATATAAGATGGAAAAGAATATATAGGAAGTAAGCCAAACCCGAAGTGGCACAAGGTTACACATATTTACTTGACATCATTAGTTAGTTAGAAACAAATAGATAGTTAAGAGACTACTCGGGTCGTTAGAGAGTGTAAGTAGGATCACAATGTAAATAAATAATAGAAGAAAGAAAAGGAGAGGGAAGCTAGTCATTTGTGAAAAATTTGGGGCCTTAAAAGTGGGAGGTTGCAGACCCTTGAAGATATGCACAAGTGGAAACAAGGGAGATTTTCCATATTTCTTTACACCGCATCAGATACTAGTTCATATCAGTATCATGCTACTAATAAAACTTGCAAGGGAAGTTTCTTTGATGATTGGGGTCTTGAATTCCCAAACTATACAAATGGGATTTTTCCCACACTTCCTTCGAGAAGTCACAATCAACTTAAATATTACATGCTTTTAACTTCCATCTATGATTATCTTTTGGATGGCAACAGTACTTTCTAAAAAAATATCAGGACTATTCTCAGCATACTTTTGTGTAATCTATTTTAATTGGCTAGACTTTCTTATATTAAAAGAAGTTATTATATGTTATAGGATGGCAGAAGTTGCATCACTCAAGGCTCAGTTTCATCAACTTCCAGAAAAATACAATCCTCCTTTGCTTCAAAGGATAGAACTAGTACTCTCACTTATGAAGAATTGCAGGCACTAGATGATATCGAATTGGCAAATGTTGTTATCTTTGGTAATAAAACACTTCGACCATTGCAGCATCAAGCATGTAAAGCAACTTTGGCAAAACAAGATTCTTTTATTCTTATGCCTACTGGAGGTGGTAAATCTCTTTGCTATCAGGTCATTGCTTTCTCTTAAACCTTGATTTTCTGTATGAGTGTTGTTTGAATATTGTTAGATGTCATCTTATAGTTTATTTGCTTTTGAACATATTAATTTTATTTGTGCTTACAGCTTCCAGCAACCCTTCAACCAGGAGTTACAGTAGTTATATCTCCCTTACTTTCACTCATTCAGGATCAAATAATAACACTTAACCTCAAGTTTGGAATACCTGCTACTTTTTTAAATTCACAACAAAATGCTTCCCAAGCCGCAGCTGTCCTCCAAGAGCTAAGGTGAGATTCACTTCCTTGTCTATCATGACCTGTCCAATAATTTTCCCATGAAAATAGCATATTAGTATTATAAAAAAATACCTTTCAGTTACTGATTGCTTCAGTGTTTAATACTATTTTCTCACATTAGTTTTCTTGTATACAGAAAAGACAAGCCTACGTGCAAGCTCTTGTATGTGACACCTGAGAGAATTGCGGGAAACCAAACATTTCTTGGGATTCTAAAATGCATGAATCAGAAGGTAAAATTTTATTGTTTGAATAAGTTTTATTAAATAGTGTCACAGAGCACTAGGCAATAAAGATCTCATGTGCGTATTTGGTTGTGTTCCCTTTTAACTCACAGGGACAGCTGGCAGGTTTTGTTGTTGATGAGGCACATTGTGTTAGGTAGGTATGCATTGTTCTCAAACCTTCTTGAAGTAGCTCTTCCCATTTGCGTCTAACATATCTGTTCTACTTTTCTCACAAGATGAACAAAAGTGCCGCATAAAATGTCATTTTGAATTGAGATCTCGTGGTGGCCAATTGGCCGTTAGTTAAGGAGGCAGATCAAGTGAAAACAGACAAATTAATTATGGTAACAAACTCTCGATATAGTGATTCTTAAAATCAAAGGTATGACCTTGTTACATTTGGTCAAAGGTCTTCAAGAAGCTACCTAAATTTCATAACTTTTTTTTAACTGAATGGTTAAAATAAAATAAAAGATAAAGGACTGCATCTGAAAGGATGGTTCAAATGGGTAACAGTGAGGATTCGTTTCTTGATTCTGTATTTTGACTTCCGACACATGACTTCTTTGAAGTTGTTGGTATGTTATTACATAAGCCAGAAGTCTGAATTGTGTCTTGTCTTTGTACTGGTAGTGGTTGATACTTGATACAGTTCTTGACTTTGAGACATTGAATTGTAACCTACTGACTTGCATATGAAATATTTTCTTATTCTGGAAGTTTCACCAACTTAAGAACTGTGATTTGGATTGACGAAAATACTAAAAACAAACCATCAATTTAGTCCTTAAACTATCATATTCTCTAATTTAGTCCTTAAACTTTATAAATATAATAAATAGATCTTAAATTATATGAAGTTTGTCACTGTAGTCCCTGCTATTAATATGTCAGAGACTAATTGATGGATTTTCATATACTTTAGGAACTGAATTGTTGGATATTATATAGTTTAAGAACTATTTATTATATTTACATAGTTTAGGGATTAGATTTGAGAGAGAATTGATAGTTTAGGAATTAAATTTATGTTTTATTCAAAATATTATTCTGCTACTACAAAGATGTGCAATAAAATGTTAAACCGCCAGAGTAGTAAAGGCATGCCTCAACAGTTGGGTGATGGGGATTGTTAAAGCTATGTGATTTATATTATCAATAAGTAACATATTCAAGACTTTTAAATTCAAAATTATGTTTTTCAGCCAGTGGGGACATGATTTCCGGCCTGATTATCGTGGATTAGGATCTCTTAAGCTAAACTTTCCACGTGTACCTGTCATGGCATTGACTGCCACTGCAACTCACCCAGTTCGCAAGGTAAATAGAATAGTAAATTGCTTTTATATATGCAAATCTATATTAAGTATTGCTCCCTCCCTTTTTTCTTTGCCTTAAATTGGATTTGTTTCAGGACATTTTAAATGCTTTAAGAATTCCACATGCAATTGTTCTTGAAAGAAGCTTTGACAGACCGAATTTGAAGTATGAAGTGATTGGTAAGACAAGGGAACCACTGAAGCAGCTTGGAAAACTACTAATGGATCGATTCAAGAGTCAGTGTGGCATTGCATACTGCCTGTCAAAGAGTGAATGTGTCGAGGTATCAAAATTTTTGAACGAGAAATGTAAAATTAAGGCAGCATATTACCATGCTGGTTTAGCTGTCAAACAGAGGGTTGCTGTTCAAAAGAAATGGCATGATGGAGAGGTCCATATCGTATGTGCAACTATTGCTTTTGGAATGGGGATAGACAAACCTGATGTTGTAAGTTGAGAGGTTTTTCTTCATTTAATGTATAATATATAAAATAAGCTTATAGTCGAACCTCCCTAATGAAATTAAATTAAGTATATTAATATTGCATATGCCCATTAGTTCAGCATTTGAATGCAAAATCTATATAATATATAATAAAATTAAAAGCATTATAGTTGAATCTGCCTAGTGAAATTAAGTATATTAATATTCATAAGGCCATTAGTTCAGCATTTGAATGCTTGGCTAAGGCAAACATAACTACATGCAAGGCGTTTGAATGCTCTGCAAATTCTTAGTGATATGATTATAAGTTTTGAAGTTCTTTGTTACTCAAATTATCCTTTTCTTTTCACGTGTTTCAGCGATTTGTCATCCACAATACAATGTCAAAATCAATTGAAAGCTATTATCAGGAATCAGGAAGGGCTGGAAGAGATAATCTTCCTGCAGTTTGCATTGCTCTATACCAGAAGAAAGATTTTAGTAGAGTTGTATGCATGATAAGAAACGGCCAAGGATATAAAAAGGAGAGTTTTAAGACAGCAATGGCTCAAGCCAAAATGATGCAACAGTACTGTGAATTAAAGGTAAGCAAGCTCCGTTAGATTTCAACATCTGTTCTGTCTCCCCTCCTCTCTCTGTCTCTCTTACATACACACACCTACACATCTATAGTCAGTTAAGTACACTTGAAAGTAGGATAAAAGATTAAAATACTAGTTGGCCATTTGAACTCAAATAAAATTCCCCATAAAATTTTTCACAAATTTTTTTGAAGGTGTTACAATATCACTTATCACCCCAGTACAAAAAGATAGATTTCATTTTATCTGGTTTGAATGTTTAGGATGAATGCCGGAGACAGACCCTACTCAAACACTTTGGAGAATCATTTGATAGAAAGACCTGCAAGTATGGCTCTAGCCCTTGTGATAACTGTCTCAAGACATAGTGAGTTGCTGCAATTATGGCTCTAACCCACTGAGCATGTTTTTGCTCTGGCGTTTGCAACTCACTAAACGTGCGTCCAATTCAAGGCTCCAATTGGTAGCTTCAATCCTATCGTCTGGTGACAACGGCATTCTGGCCGCAGATCCTAACAGCATCTCAATGGACTTTATTGTGTAATCTTTATGGTATACCAGTTGAATAGTTAGAATATCTCTAAATTATATTTATTTTTCAGATCTAATTGAGGCACCACTAAAAGTATTCCACCACAGTATATTGAAAAGTAAAAATTGATCTCCAAGATTTTTTTACCGAAGTTTTCACGGAAAGCAGAAAGTGTAAAAATTGATCTCCAAGATTTTTTTACCAAAGTTTTGACGGAAAGCAGAAAGTGTAAAATATGACACGCTAAAGTCTCTTTCTTGGCCACATTGGTCTGGGCATCTTCTTTAGAATCAACACTGTTTCCTTCTATAGGTCCTTCAAGTACAAGAACTGTTAATTTATTAGAAATTAAGATATTTTCTTAGTTAAAATTGAATGCACGTAGGAACACGTTTTTTAATGAAAAGACCAGTTGAATTATAGTTCTTTATAATATTTTTAATTTCTTTAATAACTTTGAAAAGGGAAAAGTTAGTATGTGCCTTGAGGGATCTTGTTATGGATTTCATAAAATAAGCATTAAGACATTAGTTAATGATTCTTTTGAAAAATCCATTATGTTACCAAAGATGTACTCCTTGTGTAGAACATGATTCCTTTTCGTCTTCTTTTTTTGACAATAAAGAACGTTATTCCTATTAATGCATCTATTAATAATGTCAGTTCCATAAAACTTCTCACCTCAGAAATCGACCATAGAATCTACAAGTACAGGGTCAAGTTCTGATATATTGATTGAACATCGAGTACATATTGAAGTCCCTTTCACTTTCTTGAACAAATACATGTATTTATTTCTATTGCGAGGACACTAGTAGGGCACCAATAAAGTTGAATGACCATTGAGGAAAATTTATTTCATTTTGATTGCACCTGTACTGCTGTGTACATTACGCACTGTTAGCACCATTCGACGTTCTATACTATCAATAATTGACACATGGATCAAGATTCAATGATTGTAAGGAAAAATAATCTACTCCATTCATAATAGTAACAAATTTTCTCTTTCGTTTCGTTGTTGTTAATAGTGACTTTGTGTGCTCAACCAATAGAACTAGCAAAAATATACTTCTTAACTCCCATATAGTAGCGTGCCAAATGAGCATAAGACTCTTCCTTACTCTACCTATTATTGGAAAGGAAGTAAAAACAGAACATAACTGACCACATACTTAGGTATGGAAAAGTAAAATAAAAAAAACAAATCACTTACACACCTCATACTAACCCGAAGAAGAGAAATGACAAGAAACGAAGTAAGTGTTATTCTTACTCCTAAAACTCCACACATAAACCGCATCACGGAACTTGTAATATACTCCAAATAATTGTCATCTTTTAATAATGATGTTGACCCCTAAGCATAAGAGACCATGAATTAATCTTAACGGATCCTATAACTTGTCTAAATTGAAACTTAATCCATGCCAACTAAGATACAAGCTAATACTCAGTAATATTACTTGTTTTCCAATACTCCCCTTAGGATCATGATTCCCCAACTTACCCTCCTATAGAAAATATCTATTATCACGGTTAAGAGAAGAATTCCATTACGGATGGTGGTCTGGTGAAAACCTAACCAGCGTGATACATTTCACTACGGTTGAATATTTCAACCGTAGTGAAATATAGTCATCTCACTTTTTATCACGTTTGAAAGTTTTAACCGTGGTGAAAAGTCAGTGAATTCAATTTTTTCATTATTACCACATGTTTTGGCCAACCACGTTGAGAATATCCATCACAATATAAAATATTAAATATTTCTAATAAAACAACGACAATAACAAGAAGAACAATAACAAGAGCAAAAATAAAAATAACAAGAATAAGAACAATAAGAACAAGAACAAGAACAATACCACTAACAACAATACCACCAAAATAAAATCAACAGAATCATTAAATATTAGATCTAAACAACAACAACATACAAACAAAATCAATAGAATAGTAAAATATTAAATCTAAAAAACAACAAGAACAAAAACTAAATAAATAATTGTTGAAAATTCGACCACGGTCTATGGTGAATTCTTCTCAATCTTGATCTCAAGATTGTTATGTAATGACAATGAAGAAAAACAAGAACACATTTAAAGAAGATGAGTATGAACTGCTGAGTAACTCTCTGCCAACAAATGTGAAATTTTATTATCATTTTACAACTGCAAAATCGTGATTATCAAACTTGATGATTGTAATGATATGAGTTTCTCCCTATTTAGAGATTTAGGTTAACTTGCATTTCAAGCTAAAGCCCAAACTATAAAAGCTCAAAAATATCTAATCTAATCTTTCTAAATCAAATCTGATCTTTCTAAATCAAATCTAATATTTCTAAAACAAAGAATTACATATTTAACACACCGCCTAATTCATTGTTTCTAAGCTATCTATATTCATCATAGACCTTATCTTCTTGAACACTTCGACTGGGCACTCCCTTTATCATGATGTCTGCAATCTGATTCTTAGTTCTGTAGTGTTCCAAGTATCAACAGGTCATCGACATAGAGACATGGTATAAGCAATTCACCATTTTTTCTCCTTACATATACTTCATGGTCATTCGTGAACTTCAGAAATTTCTTCTCTCTTAGAAAGTTGTCGATCTTCTTATTCCAAGCTCTTGGAGCCTGCTTAAGTCCATACCAGGTTTTATGCAGCCTGTAACCTTTCTTTCTTCACCTTGTTTCACAAACCCAACTGGTTGTGCAACATAAACCTCTTCATCTAAGGGGCCATTAAAGAATTCACACTTCACATCCATCTGACATGTGTGCCAATTGTTCATATTTGCTAGACCAACAACCAACCTGATTGTTTCGATCCTAGCAACAGGTGGAAACACTTCATCGAAGTCTATTTCTTCTTTCTGAATAAATACTTTCGCTACAAGTCCCGCCTTGTGTCGAGTTACCTCTCCTTTAGGATTCACTTTCACCTTGTGAACTCATTTCACATCAATTGCCTTCTTGCCTTGAGGCAATTCGACAAGGGACCAAGTGTTGTTGACTTTGATGAACTCTAACTCCTCATTCATAGCTTTCACCCACTTCGAATCCTTTAATGCCTCATCTCCATTGACTGGTTCAACATCTGCATAAAAAACATAATGTACTAGCTCACCTTCTTCATCGACCACATCATCTGATGTAATCACACATTCTTACAACCTTGCAGGCATGTGTCTTGTTTGTTGAGGCCTGCTTCACCTCTGACTTCTTCTTGTCGAACTTCTCTTTCGAATTCAGTGGCTGATTCTTCACAAGAGATTCTCACTAAATTCTTCTTGACATTCTCAGTCCAATCCCATTCGTTAAGCTCATCTATGATCATGTCCCTGCTGATCACTACCTGCTTATTCACCGGGTTGAACAACCTATAACCTCTAGTCAAATGATATCCTATCAAAATCATCTGATTTGACTTATCATAAAGCTTCCTTCTCAACTGATCTGGCACATGCCTATGTGCTATAGATCCAAACACCTTCAAGTGACTGTGGCTAGGATTGAAACCAGACCAACATTCTTTTGGTGTGATTCCTTCAAGCTTCTTCGTTAGACATCTGTTTAATATGTATGTTGCTGTCGAAACTGCTTCTCCCCATAATTTTTTGGGTAGATGCTTTCCATTCAACATACTTCTCACCATGTTCATGATGGTTTTGTTCTTTCTTTATGCAATTCCATTTTGTTATAGAGTGTAGGGTGACACCACCTCATGCACAATCCCTTTTTTCTCACATAATGCATCAAACTCTTTCGACACATACTCTCCACCACCATCAGTCCTTAGAATTTTCAGCTTTCAACCACTCTATCTTTCGACCATAGATTTGAATTTGGCAAATACCTCGATCACATCACTTTTCTTCTTGATGAGGTAAGTCCACATCTATGAACGTGACAAAGTATCTGTTGTCTGCAATCGAATCCACCTGGGTCAGACCACATACATCAGAGTATATGACTTTCAGAATTGCCTTCGACATCCTTCCTGCATCCTTGCTGAAGCTATTCTTCTATTGTTTCGACTGAACACACTCTTCATAGACTTCACTTGGAATGTCAATTTCTGGTAATCCAGAAACCATATTTATTTTCTTCAAATCTTTGATGTCTTTGAAATTGAGATGGTCAAGTCGATAATGCCATACCCATTCATTTATGTTGGCTGCAGTTGCAAGAAACGTGTGCTCCATCACATTGAGTTCAATCTTGAAGGTCTTATTCTAAGACATTGGATCCTTCAAGATCAACCTACCACCTACGTTGAAAACTTTCATCATCTTGTCTTCGATCAACACCTTGTAATTATTTTTGACCAGCTACCCGATGCTGAGCAAATTACTCTTCATGCCTGGTATGTACAATACATTAGAAATTATTGACTTCTTTCCATCTTTCCTCATAATCATAACATCACCAACACCTTCAGCTGATAGAGTATTGTCATTTACAAATTTCACCATATTCTTCATTGAGGGCTTCATGTTGACAAACCAGTCTTTTCTACCAGTCATGTGTGATGAGCACTCCGAGTCCAAGTACCACTGGTCCTGGAATCTTTCTTCATCTCTTGTTGTGACCATCAGCAACATCTCTTCTTCTTCATATTTCTCCAACTTTACATCAGTTTCTTGATTCTTCTTCTTTTCTTGACAATCACTAAAATAGTGACCATACTTCTGACAATTGAAATACTGAATGTGACTTTTGTCAGGATTTTGACCACCACATCTTCCTCTACTTGCAGCACCACCTCTTTGGTTTCCTTGGTTCCAGGGTTTTCTCTGATTCAATCAGTTTCGTTCCTGCTAAT